TCATTAAACCCTATTAGGAGATGATAGATTTAAAAAATGTCAACAGAGAATAATTTAAACAAAAAAAAACATTTAGTACAACGTAATCTTAAACAATATCAAACTTAAAAATGAAGACAATATGAATGGACAAATAGTGTATTATTTTCCATCTCCCAGTATGTCTGGTCTGTTCCTTGTTATATCATGATATTACATTTTTTTCAACAATTCCCATGATATTTAGCTTTAAAATTGGTGAAATAAACTAATTGATGGTTTACGTGTATATACATTGTATGCAAGACAAATTAGAATATACTGCATACGAATTGTACTTAATAACTAATAATGATTGAGTAGTAGCTACGTGAGTAAATACTTTAAAAGATGTTTGGTTATTTCTATAACGTATGACCAAATTAGCGAGTCTTTAAAATAATCCTCACAATTCACACTATAGGTATTTCTTTTTAACTCGGTGAATGTGTCAGTGCATGTATTAAAATAATTATAAGGTGGTAGATATACAACACCAGGTGCAGTCTGTTCGTCTGTGTGATTACATAGTTGTTATCTGCAGGGAAATTTTATGCGTTTAGTTTTTTGTCCGGAATCTTGTATTTGAAAATTTCAATTTTTAGCTGTTTCCACTCAAACTGATTTTAAATACTGTAATACATTAAAATATAATCAGTAATTGAATAGGCCAATTACATATCTATCTGTTCATTTGTGACGGTGGTGAATTAATAATAAATGATGATGCATTCTTAAATAAATTACACACTTTCTTGATTTACGGAACACATTGTTTTGAAGTTAGACACTCCTGGATTATCGGATAAATATGCGAAGAGTTTACAAACAGAACACGCCAGGGTCACATTATTTGATTACGGAAAATGTGTATTTATTGACCTGACAGCATAAGTCTTTTATCATATCATCTTTACAACGTAACTTTATCAACTTAGAGGTCCATCTAATTTAATTAACGTCTAGGCCCCCTATCTTCTGGAAGTCTCCTCGATACATTTCCATCGTCACACGATCAATGACGTCATCGCCGGGGGACGAACAATCGAATTTCTGTGCACATACATATGTATGGTTCATATACTTGTAATTCACCTAAAAAAGACGAGCTAATCCCCCGGTTTGTAGTAGTCACATAAAAGGCACAGATTTTATTACGATTTCATATCCGGTAATCAACTATAGAAGAGTTGTTGGTGAGTATTTTGTTTGTCTGCTGATAATATTTTGCTACTTCAATAATGTTTGTGTTGATTTGTTTTACCACGTTGTTCGATGTAGTTCTAAGTTCAGTGTATAATTTACAGTTCATAAAATGATGTGTGTTCATCTTCTTCTTCATTGGAGTTTTGTATTGTGCTCAACGTTTCTAATTTGTAGTTGCTTGTTCTAAATTGTGCTTTTACTCTGACGAAGACAATTTTCCATATTTCTATTGTAATCTACCCTCCTTGGGAAATGTTTTGATTTAATGTCTACAAATAATGTAGATAATATATAATGTTTAGCAGCTTTCACTTTCAGGATTTAAAAGTACGTAAAAATATTCTCGATGTAAAGACACGTATATATGTTTTTTAGCTAAATTATGTGAACATTTTGAGTAAATGGCTTAGAATTATTAATAAAAACCAACAAGTACTTTGGATAGATCCATTCGACAAGATATTTTGATTGATTTATTGTTTAGATCAAATATTCTTTTATGCAAGATTTTATGTGAAACTATTCTGTCTCTGTTTTGTACCATATGATTTCACTGGCATAATTCAATAATCAACTCTGAGTTGTGTTGAAAGTCACGACTTGATAATATGCGTTCATTAATTGTAGACGTATTACTTAGATCAAGATGATGTTGACTACCATATCGCTCGCTGTGATTGGATTATTCTTGGTGGTAACGCCTGTCGGTATGTGCCATGATTTATTTGTTTCGATTTTAATGACAATATTACAACAATCACAATCGTCTCGTGTCGCTTCTAGTTTACTGGTTCGGAGATTACCTCCATGTATATTGTGCTTACCTTAAAGGATGATGGTCGTCGCGCAGCGCGTGTTCGAATTTCATGTAAATAAACAATGTATTTTACACGCGTTGTATACGTCGCTATGAGTCCCATATCGAACAGGACGCGGGTGGACAACCACCGCCCTTTAAATAGAATACATAGGATAACAATACATGAGATGGGTGGGCAACTATTATGGGATGCCACACGTAGCGATTGTATACCTTAATATCTGTCTTCCTATCTGCCTATATTTCAATTAAGAGATGAACAACCCTGAAGTCGGATGTTATAGAAGCTGTAGATGTCTGTTATATAAAGTGTTTTGCCGTAATGACCATTCTACGTGGGATTGGTCAAAAGACTACTGTGAGAACCTGGGTGGTAGCCTAGCAACTATCGATCAGCAATCAACGCACAAGGCAATAAAAAAGATTATCAAGGAAACAGAAGGAGTAAACGAACGGAAATGTCACAACTGGGGTTTCTGGATTGGATATTACGACCCACGTGACCCCAAACCATCTCGTCATAAGGCACATCCTGAGTTGTTTGAATGGTTGCAGACTGACCCACCATGTGTTCAGTTCGTAAAGTGGGCAGAAAACCAACCTAACGATCAAATCGAAGAAGACGCTGGTGGACAGAACTGCGTTCAGTTATGGTAACTTATAAATTGTTACTACAAACTAGTTAGCGTAGCTTCCATCTATCTACGATATTTTAAAGATAATGTTATACCATTTCTTGCTTTAAAAATAACAGCGGGGTATCTAGTTGTCACAAAAAAACTCGTAACACTTGTCCGAGCCGATACGACTCGTCACGTTGGTTTGATGTGAACGCCCCTTATTATGCAGCCGAGGTTCATCCCCATATAGTGCCTGTAATTACTACTTATGCCAATATGTGCGCGTAGTAGGGTGGTATATTTCATGTATATATATAGCAACAATTACAGAGTTTCAAAGCAT